CGAACTCGATCCCCGCCGGCACGGTTAATTGCAATTTTAAGTGCTGATTTATCACGAGCTCGACGGTAAACGAATGACTTCTTTACGATGTTTCGCTTCACGATTTGTGCATGCTGAGAAATAAAAAAATATATTTCTAAGATACGTGAAGTTCGCCAACACGCATTGGGACAGTGCGGCAGACACTTACTTGCCCTAAATCCCTCTCAGAAGTGAGAGGAGGCCTGTGCCCAGCAGTGGGACTTATATCGGTTGTAACTTTATGTTAAACCTCGAACAATACTTGAACTCAAATCAAGCATTTACAAGAAGCGCCACTCTGATCTCTATTGAATTGGACACCTTACAAAAGCTTTATATACGTTTAACGTTATAAACCTATTTTATAGATTTTCCTGAATAAGATAGTACATTTAATAGCGCACATAATTTTCGGTAAGTATTCACTGTATGTATCACTATATTTATAAAATAATACTTGTATATGAGCCGTGGTAGCTCAGATGGTTAGCGCTCGCTGTAAGCTTCACAGTATGCAAGTAACCCGGTGTCGATTCCCGCCTGCACCAATGAAATTATTAGTTGCAATTTTAAGTGCTGGTTTACCACGCGCTCGACGGTGAAGGAAAACATCGTGAGGAAATGTGCATGTCTGAGAAATAAGAAAAAAATATTTACAAGACATGTGAATTTCGCCAACACGCATTGGGGCAGCGCGGCGGACATTTCCTTGTCCTAAAACCCTCTCGGGACGTAAATAGGCTACAACTTTACTTTAATTTACTTTATACTCTTCTAACTATACATTAGAATCTAAATATACTTAAATCAAACTTCTAAAAAGATTAGTAAGTACCTAGTGTTTAAAATATTACTTTGAATCCAGTTATGATAGGTGTTTAGATATAGTACCGCCTCGTTGGTCTCATGATCATTTGCGCGACTGCGGTGCGGCGGAATCCCGGGTCGGATCAAAGATACTTTCTCATTCTTTTTTTAGATAGAAATAAATTCTTTATTGCACTTAAACAAACAAACATTTGGTACAAAGGCGAACTTAATGCCGAAAAGGCATTCTCTGCCAGCTGACCTTTGGTAGTGTGGTGAGAGCTATGGGTAGAGCCGCAACAGAAAAAAAAAATTAAATCTTCTAATTCTTCAAGACATTGATGTTACTTCTCCGCGCCTCGCAAAGAACTGTTGAGACTGGTCACCGTAACCGAAATTCTGTCTGGAGGACATTCATATAATTATCATAAATAACTATTAAGACAAATTTTATAATTTCAATGTATGTGTGTATGTATGTGTTTAGTGTACTACACACAATAATAAGTTGAATAAGTGCTTCATAATAATATATCAACTTTATAGTCGAAAACTCAACAATAAAAATGTAGAAGGAAGCTAAAATGTAAGGTTTTCTTAATACTAATTGGAGGGAGTTGCGCGGGCGCAGGCGTCATGTTGCGGCTCCGTTCGTTATTTAGGATTAATTGTGCGGAACCGAGCATATTCGAGTATTTGACACCGGGTGGCTTGGCGCTCATTCAACATGGACTTGAACTTTATTTTTATTGACCTGTAGACTGCTACTATGTTTCTGTAAACATTTTTGTAATTTGTAATTTCTTTTACAAAAATTATTTGACGTCAAATTATGTCAATTACAAAGAATGCAACGACTACCTTTAGTGAGACTGACCCACCTGACAGAATTTGTACTGAGTATAATTCCTTAGCTAATGATGAATACTTATATATTTTCTAAGTATTTTGCTCTTTTACAAAGGCTTAACGTACGTATATGTATAAGAGCAAATGAAATCTAGTAACATCGACTATTGGATTGGACATTAAGTATATAAATTGGTTTTAATTTGTAATGTAGATTAGTTTATAGTAAGTAGAGGCATATTAAGAAACTAATAGTTTTAAAAGTAAAGAAGCAATATAATTATTAATTAACCAGAATAGGGTTACGTAGCAAAGATTTTTTCACCTTGTATAGTGGCGGCGGAGGTAATTAAGGTAAATTCTGCTTACCATAGCTAAGGCTCATTAGAAATACTTAATTGTTTCAAAGTGCTTTAGTTATTTAACTTGTGAAGATGATGACTGATATGTTTAAGTAAAGATAAACTTAGATACCTGCACTGTATGTAAGTTTTTTAAGGCTGTGTAAGAATATCCCTATATCGACCTATGGATGTAGTAAGAGGCGAAAGAGGGAAACTGAAACAAGAGATGGGCAGCAGCATCTTCCTGAAAACAACTCAAAATTACAAAAAAACTGCGGTTGCCAATCCGCCCGCTAATCGTGGCAACGTGGCAAATTCCCCCTCAGAGAAAGTCATTGGGGGAGGCCTATGTCCACCAGTGGACTTTTATAGGCTGTAATAGATTACAAATATAACATGCATTTTTATACGTGGTAGAGTCATGCTGCAGCTATATTAGTAATATAGTTGTACCACGAATGGGTCGGTTTGACAGAGAAAGGACCACGCTCTCACAGAATGCCAGCTTAAAATAGCAGCTTGACACTGCTGTGTTTCGTATGGTGAGTGTAGAGAACCGGAGACCCTTTTTACTGGAAACGAGGCATTCCAACTTAGTCCTCTAGGGTGACAACGTAACTGCATTTTGATCCTTTATTGAGGATAGATGTAGATGTCTATGGGTCGCAGCAACCACTTACCCTCAGGTGGACTGTGTGCTCGCTTGTCACTCTATCCTATAGAAAATGCATAAATAACAACATTTTTCCAATGAAATCTAATTCTGAATACTAAATTATAAATTTTTGAAAGTTTAAATACAATAAAATTTGAATACCCTATTTATTGTAATATTATGATCGCACGTGAGGCCACAGACGTGAGATAAAACAAAAAAAAACAAGCACAGTACAAAAAAAACAAACTGACAAAAAATTTACAAATATTATTATTTACGAATATGTTGTTCATGTCTTAATGGCATGCAAATACTCTTAATTCCCTGGGCCCGATAAAAGGTAGTTATTTTGATATTACAGACAGACACTTTTTTCAGATATTACTTTAAATAGAGCTGATAATGTATAATCATGTCAAAGATGTGTTTTTAAAGACAAAAGAAAAAGTAAGAAGGAAAAGGTAAAACTTTTAGGTTTCATATAATAGTAATTCATTTTATATAGGTAAATATGAAGTTCATATTATTGTTTGTTTATATTCTTTTTAGTTTTTAAAAATAAGGTAGAGTAATTACATACCTACATACGTAAATTACTCTGAGAGGAACATATACTTTTAAACTTAAAGTTAAAATTGTGTAACGCTGTCATTCATTGCCCATCTTTCGAAATAGAACAGATGATGAAAAATGTCACTGGGTAATTATGATTTATTTTGTAAATATTAATATTTATAAATAAAAATACCAAACTTCCAAATTATAAATTTCCCTCCATATTTCAAATGTAGTGTTTCATGGAAAAATGGATGTGCGTTGGTAAAATTTTCGCGCGATGATTTTTTACTATTTAAAAAGACAACTAAAACCGGATGGATCGTTTGATAAAGGCCTTTCCTGGATTTATCTATATGATACAGAAACGAAGCGCCAGTCGACAGTTTGTTTCAGAATGACCCTACGCCTGCTAAGCTGAAGCGATCGAGAAGCGAGCGTAGGCAAGATTTTGATAGCTAGTTTTTTTTTTCATTTTAACGGGGTATGTGGTGTCAATTCCTTTATAAAATCGAAGAAACATTAAAGCCGAATGGTATACTATCAAATGTTTGCTAGAAGCTGCTTTCACACAAAATAGTCCTTACACTTGATTTTTTCAATAATAAAACTACTTGCCTAAATACCATTATTATATTAGTTTGTTGAAGTTTATTTTACTAAGTCCTAACAAATTAAAAAATAATATTTAAGACATTTTAATGTAATATCTAATATAAGAAAATAGTGTTTCATTTGACAGCTGTAATGATTAACAAATGTTTTGCATGCAAAGCTGACTTATTTTTCATTAAAACACGAATGTTTGGTGGAGTACATGATACGACAATATTTTAGTTCAAGAAGTTGAGTAAAGAGCGTTTGTAATTTTTTATTATTATCTGTTACACATCATGTGAGCTTCGATTGTAACAAACTTAAACAAGCAATATAAACGTAATACAGGTATGTATAATGGGTTAATGGGTGCTTTAAAATATTATGACACAATATATTGGAAATTTTGATGGCTGGGTAGCATGTGGTAGCAATGCGGCGAAGCGCTTCGGCGCTGCGGGTTTTATTTTAGAACGGAACAAGTACGTATATTTGTAGGACCTTGTGGGCCTATATTGTTCCATATTTTTGTGTTTGTCTTTATGCAAATTACGTATATAAAACGCCTGAAAGATACAGTAGAAGTTTTTAGTGATTCTTGTTGAAAACCCTTTGCGATTTCTCCGCATGGACATTACTTATATTGAATATGGGTCTGTCAGGACAAGCGTCTCTGTGCTTGCGCATACATTTAAGGCACCACAATTTTCTCTGTGCAGTTTATATTATACAAATATTCAAAACTGTTTTTACGTGGTAGAGCTAGACTGCCGCTATATTGTAGCTGCAACTAGTTGTGTTGCTCTGCGCTCTTACATAATACCAGCGTAAAATAGCAGCTTAATGCTGCTGTATTTCATATGGTTAACGTAGAGAACCGGAGACCCTCTTTACTGGAAACGAAGCATTTCATCTCAGTCCTCAGGGGTGACAACGCATCTACATTTTGACTCTAAATTGAGGATAAATGTAGATGTGTTAATATGGGCCACAGCATCCACTTACCGTCAGGTAGACTGTGTGCTCGTTTTTCACCCTTATTCTATAAACCAAAAACTGTTACATTAAGTATTCTGTAATTTCATCATTATCAGCCTGCAGAAGTCCACTTCTGGATATAGGCTTGTGTTTTATTGATATATCAATTGATAAGCAATGTTATTAAACAGGTCTGTCATCGCGACAGAGTTCACCAGCGTCACTCAGCTCCCAGGCATCAAGTTGCCGGTCTCCGGTGCCCGACGAAGACGTCGAAGTGGACGTGGAACAGTGTTCTGACGGCGAGCGTGACACCTCCGACCACGCCGTGCCTTCGCCGGCTCCATCGTCAGGTTAACAAAATTCTTTGAATCTTCTTTAAATAATTACATGGCGTACACGCTAAAATACTTGTAATTAGGTACTTGATTTTTATGTGTTTATCGACAAATAAGTAAAACTACTATATCATATTATGGGGGGTATATTGCCATAGTTACCACGCTAGGCGAGCGGGTTGGCAACAGCAGTTTTTTATTGTTGTTTTGCTGTTATCAGAAAGATGCTGCTGCCCATCCTCTGCCTCAGTTTCCCTCTGTCGCCTCTTACGACACCCACGGGAAGATATGGGATAGTGAGTATTCTTACCCGCCACTACACGGGGATCATATGAAGCTCAAGGTCGCTCTGCGAGCTATGGAGAGGGCTAAGCCCGGAGTTTTTCTGCGTGATAAACTTAGAAATGAGGATATCTGCAGTAGAACCAGAGTGACTGACATAGCCCAACGGATTAGTAAGCTGAAGTGGCAATGGGCCGGCCATATAGCTCGAAGAACCGACAACCGATGGGGAAGAAATGTTCTCGAGTGGCGGCCTCGTACCGGAGCACGAAGTGTAGGGCGTCCCCCTACTAGATGGCCTGGTAAGACATGCAGGAAGTCGATGGATGCAGGTGCTTTGTTGTTTGACCGTGCATTCCTTGGGGGAGACCTATGTTCAACAGTGGACTTATGAAGGGCTGTAATGATGAATGATGAAGATTTCTATATCATTTGCTTATATGCATAGAATTAATTGCCGTCCGTTAGTCTCGCTAAAACTCGAAACTGGCTCGACCGATTCTGATGTCATTTTTTGTGCGTATTTGAGTGGGTCCCTGGATGGTTTAAATTCACAATTGGACCCGCTATGTGGAGCTGTTGTAGAGATCTAGAAATCTTCCGTGTGAAGCCGGGGTTGATCGTTAGCTATATCGAATTATCATTATCAGCCTAAGGCAAACCGCTGCTTATGGTTAGCAGACCTTTTTTATAGAAGAGGGGGCAAACGAGCATGCGGCTCACCTGATGGTAAGTGACTACCGCCGCCCATGAACAACCGCAACACCAGGGGAATTGCAAATGCGTTGCCGGCCTTATAGAAAGGTGTAAGCTCTTTTTTTTTCGAGTAAGCACTATTTAGCTCAATCTTGCCATTCGCCTTATGCTATCTTCGGTTCATATAGTTATGGGGTGTCCTATATTTTTTCAATACAAATTATTAAGAATAACTCAAAAACTATTGGTTAGACCTTGATCAAATTTAAATGTGACCACATGATAATCACCAGTTTTCAAATAAAAAAAAGAATCATCGAAATCGGTTCACCCAGAAAAAGTTATGAGGTAACACACATAAGAAAAGAACACAGTCGAATTGAGTACCGTCTCCTCTTTGAAGTCGGTAGAAAAAGGCCTGTGTTCAACTCTGGGAAGTATATGGCTAAATAGACACCTATTTTCAATGTGAATGACTATCTACGAAAATTGTAGAGATTTCATCTGTAACTTGTGGAAATTATAACTTATATAAAATTAAACTTAGTTCACGACCAAGTGGTGGCGGTGTAAGAATATCCACCAGCCCATATCGTCCCGTGTGTATCGTAAGAGGTAACAGAGGGAAAGAAACCAGGTGATGGCGAGCAGCGCCTTTCTAATTCTAGATTAGAAAATAGTTCTCAAATCTCTATTAGAGTTACTAACTCGAGTTCGATACCCGTCGGCACCAATGGCATTGTTTGAAATGTTTACCGCGTGCTCGACGGTGAAGGAAACATCGTGAGGGAACCTGTATATATCTGAGAAATAAAAAAATATTTCGAAGACATATGACAACTCCGCCAACACACATTGGGGCAGCGCGGCGTACACTTCCTTGCCCTAAACCCTTTCAGAAACGAGGCCTACCCTCGTTTCTGAGAGTAGGCTCACCGGTGGGATGTCTGTAGGCTGTAACATTAGTTTACTAGAAAATAAAACAAATGCGGTAGCCAACCCGCCTCCAAGGCCTGGCAACTATGCCTATGTTTAGCATGTGTACTTTGATAGGCTGTTATAAATGAATGTATGAATACTTAATTTACGTTAAAATCATTGTGTTCTTTGCACCTAGGCATTGATTATATAACGGACGCAAAAACGTACATTTGTAATAACTAGTAACACTTTCGACGCACAATGGCTTTGTATGGCTTTGTGTGATTATAACATAAAAAGTATATTGGAGCTATAATTAGCGACGATTATAAACGTAATAAATATACTTTCTCATACGTTGCGTTCCCACAATATTTGTATGTGATTGCGCTTAAAGCAAGTTTAGATAAAGCAGTAGTAAAAAAGTTTGAGATAAATTATTAACTAATAACATTGAGTTATATGTACTACGTACTAGAGAAGCCATTCCGAACATTGACTATGTTCAACTGAACTGTAGTGCAATCCCTACAAACTAAATATTGCGTAAATTGAAGATTTGTGAATTCCATAAAATAATTAATATTACATTTTATTTAGAAATATAACCTGTTTGTTTAGATGAAATTAAGATATTTTATATTAAATTCTTATATTTATTTTATATTAATATCTTATTTTATATCAAATTAAAGTCTTCGCGACTACTACTCCCGCGCATGCGCGAAAACATAGAATAGGACACAGTTTTTGTTTGAAATGGCTTCTCTAGTACGTAGTACATATAACTCAATGACTAATAATCTTTTTCCTGACGATCTTATAATAGTATAACCTAAGGGGATTTTGACAATTTTACAGCCACCTAACACAAATTATCATAATAAAACAGTTAATGTCATAGACGTAATTATTTTTCACTAAGCCTCTGACACTGTAACAGACCTATGATACTGTAAAATGTCGATGTAACACAAATGTGTTGGAAAATGAGTGGTTCAAAATACTGAGACAAAACAACCTCAGCTTTCTCCAAAATCCTAAAGTCAATAATTTGTGGAGTAAACTATTATTTAAAAGTTGAAATTAACGTTCTTGTCTCAACATACGAGCCGATAATGAAGGCATTTGAACACATTAGGAATTCAGCATTGATATTTTACGTCATTCTTTTTCAGCTCATTTTGCGCAAAACTTAACAGTTCTATCTATATTAGAATATATTTCTTGTAATTTCAAATTTTATAATACGTCTATTTATTTATAAATATTTAAATAAGTTTATTGTGACAGAACTAGGGGAGAGAGACACGCCGTCGCCAGCGCGACCTCTGCCGCCGGCGACGTCTTGCAATTGTGAGGAACTGTTGACTGTAGATTGTCAACTTGAGACCAAGGACTTATGGGACAAATTTCACGATCTTGGCACGGAGATGATCATCACTAAAACTGGCAGGTAAGATCTATATTTATTAAAACAAAACCATTGAAATATCTAATGCTGCTATCTATCTAGTGCTGCATAATGTGAATAAATGATACTACTACGATGCTGACTTTTTAAAGATCATTGAAGAATCTTCTTTTTTGAATTTTTGGTAATTTTGAAAGACTTTAATTTCATAGCATGCAAGTAAATTTATTTTAAACCTTAGCCGCAGCGTCAACACGTCAACTTTTAATGGCAAATTTATTTACGGCAGTAATAATCGTTTAATACAACTTCATTGAGAAAAAGTAGTATACGATGTGTCTGTCTTTATCATTAAGCATGTATTGAGGTGCTCCAATGCATTGAAACAGACAAACCGAAACATATGAGCAGAACTTGCCAGACTATGAAAATTACCAATGTATCCTTTTGTATAATTCAGTTTAAAAATATATATTTATTTTAACCACACAAATCACATCACATTTCATTCACACATATCACATTCACACCTCGGACCAAGAGCTCCTTTATAAGTACGAGTAAGAAATGCAATTCTCTCCTTCAAATTCATAAGTCACTTATAATTTTAAAAAAAATAACACCAATATTAAGAGGACATTTTGACAAAGATTTAATTTGTATTATGTTGTCAATACTTTTACGAACTAAATATCTTGAGTATATGAATAAAATAGGTAAAAATCTGCAGCTTAACAAAGGCATTTCCCATAGATTGCTTTCATAGAGGGGATATTTGCCATGCTTGGTAAGCTGGCTGGCAACCGTAGCTTTTTATATTTTAATTACCTCGTTTAGAGCCGGGGCGCCATCAGGCAACTGAACTGAGCAAGTGGCGCAAATATGAGTCTCTGAGAGAACACTACATATCTGTGCCATTTGCTGTAGAGACTATCGGTCCGTGGGCTCCACGTGCAGTGAAGTTCCTAAAGGAACTCTATCCGCGATGGTCGTTGCTGCTGGTGATAAGAGGGCTAGTTGTTTTCTCGCTCAAAGGTTAAGTTTAGCCATTCAGCGAGGAAAGCAGCCAGCGTTCTTGGTACGATACCACGGGGAGTAGGACTGTATGATAATTAAGTTATTAGTTTTAGTTTTTTATTATAGTTTTTTTTAATTTGTTATTAGAAGGCTGTTGCTACCCGTCTACTATTTTATTTTCCTCTGTTGCCTTTCTTTACACCTACGGGATGATATGGGTTCGTGGATTATATCTTACGTCGCTAATACACTACGGTAGTCCAGTAACACACAACACGTTTACACGCACACGTTTACAAATTACTTGTTTCTAATTACGAAGAATCTCCTCCACCGAATTTAATCTTTCATTCCGCTGAAATCGCAATCATTGCCAAATTAATTCACTCTACGAATACCCTTAAAAAAGGGTTCAACGGAATGGATTCATCAGCCAAAGTGGCCAATTCCAGAATAATTACTTCGCGAACCCGGTCGTCCTTCAACCCTTTAACGAGATAAATTAAAAGTACATTTTTCCTAACTGTCCCGCGTAACTCCCGGCAATAAATTTACAAAGCCCTAAAGACAACAAACGGCGCTGTGGGGGAGGGGAAGATGTTTTTATAGTCACGCAGAGAGGTTTATCTAAATAATTGCGTAGTCGGTGGCGGTGAGCGGAAAATTGGCATTGTGTTCGAGCGACAGGCGGGCAGGGACCCGCGGCCAACCCCGCACTGCATTTTGTCATGTCTTACAACCCTCTTTAAAACGACAAAGAAAACATTGACATTGACGCTAAATTGTTCTATTAAGATGTTAATGATATCACATATTAAATACATTGTAACTAGGTTTACATATGTAAAAAATGTATTACAAAAAAGTAATTAATTAACAGTTATAATTTCACGCAACATATTCAAATCTTATATATACTTAAACAGAAGGTGAAAAGGAATTATTTTTATAGGATAGGGTCACAAACGAGCACAGTCCACCTGATGGTCAGTGGTTGCTGTAGCCCATAGATATCTACATCTATCCTCAATAAAGACTCAAGATGCAGATGCGTTGTCAGCCGTGAGGATTAAGAAGGAATGCCTCTTTGCCAGTAAAAGGTTCTCCGGTTCTCTACACTCTCCATACGAAACACAGCAGCCTTAAGCTGCTATTTTACGCTTGTTTTCTGTGAGAGCGTGGTCCTTCCCCGGTCGAGCCGACCCATTCGTACTACAACTATACTACTAATATAGCTGCAGCATGGCTCTACCACTTAAAAAAAAATTGTATATTATTAATTATTACAATTATTTAATGTTATTTTCTCGGTGTCCAATAACATAGGAAATATTGAAGTGGACTTTATTAACATAACTTAAAAGTTCTAAAATACGAAAAGTAACCAAACACACAGTCACATATCGTTATATTTCTTATTTTACAAACACGATTACTATTTCTTGTATTTTGTTTTCAAAAATTTATAAACAATACAACGTATGTGAAAAACGATCTCAATTTTTGATAAAATTTATGATATTTTTGCGTGATAGAAACTTCTCTATTCCACCTTCAGACAGGTTCTTTAGTGATGTAATAAAAAAAACTAATTACTTGATGTCCTTTAACACTGCTAAATTAATTGTTATTTGTGGCGTGAGTGTGCGTTTTACATTTATACTAACTTAGTTTTTGCTGTTGGCACTGAAAATGGTCAATAAAACATTGTTAATATATTCAACTGTCGTAATGATACTTTTTAAATTTTACTATATAGTTTTAATTTTAATGATAACTTAACTTTTTTTTTAAAGTTCATTATCCTTAGATGTATAAAAATGATAACAGAAAACTCTTGTAAACTATAATCTAGAAACGAATGGAAGTTTTCAAAAACTGATCCAAGTTTAGTAAATTTGTTCAGATAAACGTAAATTCATTGACTTCATACATGTCTTATTAGGTCGTCCTTCCATCTAGTGGGGGGATGCCCTACACTTCGCATGCAGTTACGAGGCTGTCACTCGAGAACCTTAATGCAGGTGGCTTGGGACCGTGGTTTGTGGCATTACTTGGGGGAGGCCTATGTTCAGCCATGGACTTATGATGGGCTGTAATGATGATGATGATGAAACATAAATTCGCAAGCTTAAATAATTTGCAAAAAAACAATTAGTACACTAGGGATAACCTTCACTGCTCTATCATTATTGTTCTTGTTAATTATAGCTTAGGGTTAATTCAATATAACAAGGAACAAGTGCACACAGTTTCTGTAATCGACGTATTAGTCCCGAGTCCTGCGCCCCTCGTGTCGCAACAAGTAAAGTTACTCTAAATCACTGTACACGCTGCTCACAGAGGATTTGTGTCTCAGGGGAAATGTCTCTATTGTAACGCTCATTGCACTTGACGCGACGGAACAATTTTGATACGTTGCTCGCGATGTTTTTGTTTCGTTTTCCGCAAATCGATTGAAGAGGGAGAAACGTAAGAATATTTATATGGCACTTATGCGCATCCTTAATTAATAAATGAAACTGCAGCTATCTAATCTTATTTGTAATTTTATGAGAGCTTAGCCCTTCCCCAGTCGAGCCGACTCATTGGTGCTGCAGCCGTGACACGAATGGGTTTTATGCGGTAAGTGACGATACCACGTTGGAAACGATGTAAAATAATTGTCTTAAGTGTTGACTTGCCGTAAACACTTTTCACAACTGAATTCCTGTACTATAAGATATTTTTTTGGTCAAATACCTAGGTATTTTTAAGAAATTAATTGATTTTAATTATAGTCATATCTTGTGGCAATTTATATGAGACACTTGAAATATACACTTTCGATTATACAAATCAGCAAAATCGGTTAACTAACTCTTTCAATCATTATATTCTGATATTTCAATATATATATATATATATATCTCGATTGTGTTTAGAATCATTCTGCAAGAGCTCATAATATTATACCGAATTCATTAATATTTTAATAACTATCTCAAATCTCAAAAGTCCATCAATATAGAATTTCATTCAATTTTTTATTTATGATATCTCATAAGTTAAGCATTTTGCGTAAATTTAACAGCACGCGAACAACCCGGGTTGATCTCCACCGGCTGAACTGCAATTTTAATTCTTTACTGATGGTAGAACTCCTTTTATGGAATTCGTCTGGGAAAGTACCATTCTCTTACCTATTTCTGTCACCACGTGGCAAATACATATATAGTGCCTGGACTACTGTATTCCGGTCTAAAAGGGATGGGAAGCCAACCTAATTGTAAGTTGTAAGGCGTACCGTTTTAGTCCTCAAAGGTGACTACCACCCATCTGTTTCTTTGATTGAAGCTGGCTGCAGGTGTCCATGGACTGCTGTAGCCGCTTGTCCACCTGGACTGGTATAAAAAGTGCTGATTTACCACATGCTCTGCGGTCTAAGAAAACAAAATGTAGACACTAGTAAGTCTCAAGGAACAAAATATTTTCGAAGACTTGTAAAATCCACCAACACGAACTCTAGCAACGCTGTGGACTTTTGCCTCCATAAACCAGGAACGAGATTAGGCTTTTGTACAGATGTGAGATGTATCTACCTATATAAAAAATTGTAGTGAAATAAGTTAACAGCCTATGCTGTTAACTTATTTTACTACAATCTTTTTAAATAATTTAAATTAAAATTTCACTCTCTAAAATATTTTGGGTTAGATGTATTTCTTTATTTACTTAATTATTCTGATGAGAAAACTAAGTCTCATCTTTAAAAAAATATTTATAAATGTAGTATTTAATTAAAGTCGACATGATGTTTTTATCTATACCATCGTTATATGCTTCAGCCAAGTCAAATCGATAGCCATTTTGTCTAAATTTCAAGCAAGGTTGACCGTTCAGTGTAATCGCTAATGGAAACCTCACAAGTGGTGCGAACACAGAAGCGCATCCTGTCCATGAAGGGTTTTATGTTCACCGGTGACTCATGAGAATAACCTTAAAATATCAGTGCAATTTAAACGACACATGTATTGTTAATTTTT